CTTTTCCAGGAAAATGCCACTGCTGCGTAGACCCTGTTTTTGAAGATGATCCCGAGAAAACCAACTTTTATCCAACTCTCAAAGTTATAAAAAAAACTAAATAAACAAAACTCACTTTTCGTTTATTTAAGCTTTCTTCATTCATTTCTGAAACTTTTTTTTCCAGTTTGCGTAGTGCAAGTGGATGGACATTGAAGTTGTTTTGTTTGGTTGGGGACATGATTATTATGATTATGGATGGATTTCAGGGTTGTTGTGAAATACAAACTTATTCTCTGAAGCAGCAGCCTCCTGGAAAAAAATATCCGTATTGTCCTCTCTCGCTCTCTGGACTCATAAATAAAAATCCATTAGAAAATTCTGAAGGGTTGCTCAATCCAGGAGTGGAGTGGGACCAAGAGGTTCTCCATGTTTCCGGCTGCTGTCAGCCAAGATTTTTCGGGGTGCATTATTATTTTGCCATGTGATACGAATCACAATTCACAATGAGCATTCTGTCAACTAGAACATACAGAAATGGTGTGTATCCATTCTGGTCCGCGTGTATTATGTTTCAATCAAATGTGCATCCGCAGAGGAGAGAAAGCAGCATGTCTGTTGGGGAATAATATGGTGGATGGATGTACAACAAGTAGTGAAGCACCCTTGTGACGACTACCTTGGGAGGAGGAGGAGGGAGGGAAGGGATGGAGGAGCAGCTTTACTGGGAAAAGGCTGCTTGGCTAAAATAAATATAAATTAAATTAGAGTAGTTCGGCCTGTACATTAAAAATGATGAAAGATGAGAGATTCATGTTTGAGAGTGAAAGTAGCGAGATTGAGCAAACACAATCATCAACAATGAGAAGATGGCGAGTTGAATGCGGTTGCTCACCAGGCTGGGATGAGTCCAGAGCGGAGATGACCACGTCCTCGCCTCGCTTTTTGGAAGGCTAATGTCTGTTTACTTTTACTTTTTTATTATTATTAGGGACCACCAGAGGGGAATTCTCAATTTCTTCCATTTCCCATCCCTCCAGTCATTTTAGCAGGCGGACCGGTGTGTCACGTTATGCGTGGGTCCACTTCGTATTAGTGGCTCACTAAAATTTGGTCTTTCTTCTTGGACTTTCACCCACGTACGTACGTAGTTTTGGGAAGTGGATGGATGGATTGAAATTGAGCTGGATTCCAATAATGGGAAAGCAATTTCTTATACCACTCACTTTTCGAGATTTTGGTAAATTGAAACATTTTGTAATTGTCCACGGTCCACTTGTTTTCCTTCATTTTAAAATATAATAACTTGCCAACTGGCTGGATGATGATGGTAATAATGAATCATGCATCAAGGAGGATCTGCACATATGGAAGTCGTATAAGGTGTATAACGATGGGAATGGTCAACTGAGTAAATAACCAGACAATATTTTTCTCCTCATGATTTTCTTTAAAGTGAAAATTCTCAAGAGGAGCAATAATAATCCGTCCGCCCTCGTTTCACTTTCTGTTGCGACATGTGTGTGTGACTTGACATTTGCTCTTTGTTTCCCAACTTTTGAACCCGTGGTCAGATCGTGTGAGGGATAAGGAGCTGGAGATTGGCTAATGTTTTCTGGTCTGGAAATTCATACATTCTAACATAGATACGTGGCGGTAGGGAAAGTGAGAAAGATACGTAGGGGCGAGTGTGTGGGGTCATGGTCCAGGCAGGTGTGCATATGGCGTAGCCTAAGATATTTACCCAGTCGGTCGGTGGGTTTGTGTCCATACGAACTCCTCCCACGACGTCTGGACTGATAGATTCCCGTGAGTGGGCAATAATGCGTAGGGATCGTAATAATATAAGCGAGTTCTTGTGTAGTTCATGAATAAGTGAAGAGCTCCGTTGTTTTTTATTCGTTATGTAAATGGGATGGGGTGAGATGTGGTAGTTGGATGGTAATATTTCTCCATTTCCATCATTCCCCGGATGGTCAGCACAGCATGGGCTCCTCCAACATTTTATTCCTTCCGAAAAATTCAAATGGAATCGTCTGAGAAAACCATAAAAACGGAATTTATTGACCGAATCCCATTCCTCCTCTGCGTAATTCAAATAGATTATCATACCACCACCAACCAACTAACAATCCTCGAATAATAAGAGACACCACCACCACCACTTTCTCAAGGAAGACCCAGGAATGACTCCCTCCCAACCTTGCTGCCCATTTCCTTCTTCACCTTCTTACGTCGTGGTCGTCGTCGTACTTATTTGGCTCATCCTCTGGCTCCGTTTTATGGCCTTGAAGGCAAGAGCAAGGAATTCAAATCCACCACGAGACGGAGGCTGGATGACAATGTGGCGATCTCATGAATAGTTTCCGTTGTTTTACGGCTCTATGGAATTTATTTATAAGCCAGGTATGACAGCCTCTTGGACGCCGTCCAGAACAACAGAGAGCGAGCGGAGAGAGATGAGGATCGATTATTGCGACGGCTTAATTGGGTTAGATTTCCTACAATTTTTATGCTTTTGATTGGATTCAGATGTATTATGAAAGGCAAAAGAGCTCGCTGGTCTGGTGGAGAAAGGGGAAACACGGGCATTTCTGTGCGCAGTCCTTGAGCAGTTGTTGGTGGACCCCACTTAAATTAAAAGGACCATCAATAAAACATACTTTAACTTTAATGGGATACTCTCCAGCTCTTCTCCAACTTTCTCTCTCTCGAAAAGTCGGAATTGTAAAAAAAACCTTAGAAATTCCTCTAGCCGAACGCCGCTTTTATTCCAATTTTCACTCAATTTGCCCTTAACTCACTCATCCCAAGTGAAAGTGGAGAAAGATGAGAAACTTGTTGTAAATTCGATTGTGTCATTTGACCAACTGAATAAAGAGTCCGAGTAAAAGTTCCTTGGTCTTAAAAGGATTTTTTTCTTCGTCGTCGTCCTCGTCCTCTTTGAGATTGAATGACGCTGCTGGTTCGACCACAGACTCTGCCGCGGCTGTCATAATCTTGGTCAACTGCTTTCTCATATTTCTCATTCAAGGCCATGTCATCTGTGAACCACTCGGGAGTGGAACGTGTAGAAAGTAAAATGGATTTAAGAATTTCTTTACTCGACTTTCTGCGACAAGTATTGGTTGTTGACTATGTAGTTATTTACCAGTTTTTGAGCCGGCAAAAGTCCATTTTCCATCGCAAAGGACAAAGCGAGAGAGAGAGAACTCTGTCCATTACTTACTTACATTACATTGCATTACTCATCAGAAAGCTGCAACTTTCTCGCCCAGCAAAAGCTGCGTACTTATCTCTCCACGAAGCAGCGTCTGTTGTTACCTGGGGACATTATCACCTTTCTATAACTCAATGCTGCTCTCAACTCGATTGAGAGCTAAACTTGTATTTCGTCGTGTTTGGGACAGGGGCTAAAAAAATTATGATTGAGTTTCCCCTGCGAGAGGAAAATTTTAATGGTGTTCACATTAAGTTGGATAAAAGTCCAATTTTTGTTTGTTTGGTAGCTGGAGAGAGTTTGTGGAGGGCGAGAGATGGATCGCGAGTCAGAAAGTCAGTCACTTTGCGTATACTTTCGCTTCCTCTTCTCTATTACGACATGTCCATTTTATTTCACTTTTATTGTGCCCTGCTGCTCCTGCTGCCTCGCTGTATAATATGTATGAAGGAGGGAGCGACGAGGGTGGGGCTTGTTGACAGTCAAGTCATAGTCAAAGAGAGAGACTCGCACAAAATTTGGACTCTGGCTACGCTAAACTTCCTTTGACTTTCACCAACTTTTATTTCCTATTAACTTTGTCTCTCTCTCTCTCTCTCTGTCAACGGGGCTTGGCATTTGGAATTCTGATTCTGACTTCACCATCACTTTCTCTTTGATGTGTGTCCATGTATATGCATTCTTTTGAACGAGCAGTGGTGGTCGCAGCTCCTGATTTTTCTCCCATGCGGGGCCAGCCACACATCATTGTTCAGTTTCTGCGTCAGGAAACGAAGGGAAAGGCGACTTGCGGCAGGTTGACAAAGTTCACGTGGTTGCCCCTCGAAGCAAAGTTATTGTTGGCGCTTGTTAGTCTCGGCACGTTTTGGGCGACGGGCACCCCAATTTGCGACGGCGAGCAGGAGCTTGACATCCGTGTTCTCGGATTGACATTCTGAGAGGGAGGTCAGGCAGTGACAGGGTGAGAAGGCTACCACCACCACTGCCTCCTCCTCCTCCCTCTTTTGGTATTCTGATTCACCGGACTTCTGGACAGAATGCGGAATATGTAACATCACATCAGCTCCTCAGACAGATAGGCAGAGACGAAAAAAAGTTGCGTTTTGAGAGCCTCCAACAACCAGGTCAGCCTTGGTTTGGGCAGAGATTAACCTATGCAGTGCATTGTTATTCCTCTTTCCAACGTAATTGACGGGCTGAATGGTGGCTCGTTATGTATGCTAACTGACCCAGTGCATTATCATCAAGCCGTGTGTAGTTGGGCATTCAATGATTCAAAGTTGGCATGGCGTGCGTGGAATAGCATATGCTGAGCTCCCCTTTGAAGTGGGGTCTTTGATGAACCCCTCATTTCGCCATGAATTCATTACACTTCTTTAAACGTGGAGACGAGAGGTTATCCAGGACTGGGGCTTATGTAACACGCCCTCCTTGACTGCTGCTTGGGCATCGTCTCTCCTTCTCAAAAAGATTCATGGTTGCGCGACTTGCATCCAAAGCATGTTCATACTTTGTACGTATGCATCATCATTGTGGCGTTGTGGTCCCTGCAACAATTCGAGTTTCACTTTGGTTTAGGAAGAATTGAGCAATAGGGAGAAATTGGAACTGAGTCAGCTCATCCATATGTGTTATTTTATGGTGTGGCGTGGTGCCGGCCGCCCGTGTCTTGGTCGGCGGAATGATAAATTGCCTCATTCAGGGCAGGCTCAGGTGGTCAATTGGTTCATATAAATCGGTTCCTCACTCCAACTCAACGGAATAGCAAACGGGCGTTGACAAATTGAAATTTCTTACGTAGGCTTTACTTGCACTCATCTCCTCTCCCCACACCAAGGCACAAGAAGAAGAAGCAGCGGCAAATTCGTGTACCGCAACAACAAACAAAAGAAAAAAGCAACTTTCCAATTCAGAGATATCGACTTTACACCAGGATCGAGGGATCAACCACGTTGCTCATCCCCGCCCGGCCACCGAGGGGACAGCGGCTACCCATCCGCTCGATGATGAGTGGATGATCCTGGGCCGAGCATTTTCTTTGTGGCAGATTTGGCTTGGAAATGGAAACTTTGAGAATTTGGTAATAATGCGATGCGGATGGGCAATGGAAGTGCGGCAGGAGAAGAATACCAATACTCGAGGAGGAATAATGGGCCTTATTTATCTGTTTCAGTTCATGTGGTGCCATTATGCCTCACCTTCCAAAACTCTTATTACACATTTATTTACGTCCTCTCCTCACTGCTCCCAATCCGAATTTCCAATCTGCCAAAATTTATCTCCTCAGATGAATTATTGGTGCGATGTGTGCCCTTTAAACTCGCAACAACGTTCCTTATTGCTCATTTCGGTCATCTCTGGCTCTAATTGAACCCTCGCCGCTTGTACACAGTTGCATTGTTACCAACTAACTACTAAATACACGGTGAATATGGCAGTTGGTTACACAAGAAGAAGACTAACCACCGACTACTAATAACTCTTAATGTAATTTTGCCTCGCATACATATTTCCACTTTAAAACATCATCAATTTAAAAGCCTCAAATTAGATTAGCTTTGACGGGTCTTGGATTTATTTTTGGCCGAGTGCGAAACCTATAATTATTTATCTTTCTTTGTAATTGGATTCCTCTTCGATTCTCGGAAGTGGATGGATCTTATTATTATTAAGCAGAAAGGAGCTTCTGTTGTTTGGAAGCCCAAAATTTTAATTTTGATTTTGAAATCTTCAATATCATCAACCTTACATATTTTTTTTTATCTCGAGCCGTTCAAAACTAATAATTCATGACCACAGACAAACAAAAGATTGTTAAATCCAAGCACGTAGCGTAATTTGATACGTTGTATGTAATTATTCAAAAATCAAACAAAGGGCCCAAAATTACACTTGCTGATTACCCTTCAGAATTTAATGTACTTTCCACCCCGGTCTGACAAGGGTTGGTGGGCTGGCATTGGAATTAATTCACTCTGAGATTTACTCGGAGAAAATGAGAAACATTGTTTTAAACATTTTGTTCATACATAAATTTGAATTTCAAATTTAGGGATGGAAATTGGGTGAGGAACCCTTGTGAGCTGTTGATAGCTTTTGTGCATCCTTCTCCACATTAAATATTCAAAGGGCGTCCGTCTCATCTACCACAAAATCAAAAAGTGTTGGTCTATATTGTTCTTTAAGCAGTTGATTTTCCTCCTCTCGAAGGAAGAAGCCTCTCCTCTGAGCATGCAAGAGTACCTCCACTGGCATCTCACATTCAATGTGTGGCAACATGCACAAGCAGGTCGAGGAGATCTTGAGGAACTCAAGGTCTTCCAGGTTTCATGGAAATGGAGAGTGGTTTTGGTGCACGAACAAAACAACGGGAATGCTAATGAGCTCCTTCACCAAGACCTTCCTCACTCTCACTCGCTCACAAACTCCCCGGAAATACTGACCTTGAAATGTGAATAATATTTGGAAACAAGCTGGAGCATATTTTAACCGAGGGCGAAGAAAGAAGCGTCGTCGCCTCTCTCGCCTCTTATCATGAGCAAACATCCAAAACCTTGGTGCATGAACAGGGATTTGTTGGTGGTGTGACTTTAATGAGATACTTGAAGGATCATGACATTGAATTTAAACAACACGCTTAAAAACAAACAAAAATGCGGTGATAAAATTTAATGAATTCAACAGCTTTTCAAACCATATACTTTGTGTTCATAAAAATTTCGAGTTGTTGGAGTAGGTTAGTTTAGTTGGCTACATATTTAGTGAGTGGTTGGTTGGTGGCGTGGAGGCAAAAAATCGGTTACTATCACTGTGTTTGATTTCAATTTCTTCATTCATTCACAGATCTGGAGGAGCCCTCAATATTTTGTTGTTGGGCTGGCTGAGCTGCTAATGTTATGTATGCGCAGCCGGGATGAAACAAAAATGGATTTGTGGGACCGGAAGCCTCGCCAACAAACAACCAGTATCCAAAGCTCATTAAGTTTAACGTGGAAATTTATTTGATGTGATAATAAGTTCAAAGTCGGGATGAGGAGAAGTTGACTGATTATTTCCACTCCATTCAATCATTTCTTAAAACTTTTCAAACCAGATCCAAACCTAGCTCAAAAAACGCTCTTCACGCCGCTTAAAAAAGCGTTTACCTTTTCAAAGAAGTCAAAAATACCCCAAATAATGATGATTTTTTATTTCTTCATACGCACCAACCGCGATCAGGGGTCTTTGGATCTCATTACAAGTTGAAAAGTGCCCAAATTGGGGAGAATCCCCGCAGAAACTTTGTCTACTTTTCTCAATAATTGCGTGATGCATGGAGCTCCTCTATAATAACTTATGTAAAATGAGGATCATAACAATTATGATATGATTGCTATTAGATTTTTGACCGGATGTGACTCCATCTTAATTTGGGTATAGACGGGAACGGAGTTGGTGGTGGATATGGTTGAAGAGGAAGCTGAAAGGTGTGTCCGTTGACTGCTTGCATTACATCTGAGCAATTATAAGGGCTTTTGAAATCAATGGCATTTTGGACTCTGGAGTCTTTACGGATTGTTAACAAGTCACTTATTTTCTGAAGATGTTCCTCCAGATAAATTTAGGGTACGTTTCTTCTGACTATAATTTAGGAACGACCTGTGAAATCCTACGGAGAGACTTGAGGACCTGCATAATGTGAAAGAAGGCCTTATTTCATTCTTATCTCCCATTCTTATTACGAGAGGAAGGACCCTGCGAGAGCTAAAAGTGTATATAAAAATATTGTGTGTGCTTACTTTTAGCTCTCTGCTGCTGGGCATGATCGGTAATAGGCTTGCATATTCATCTCGGGTTGTTGTTAAAGAAGGATGTTTGCCCGTGGATTTGTGTGAAGTAGGAAAAAGATGGGATTTATTTGGCTGCACTAAAATTACCTCAAAATCCAGACCCTTTTTAGCTGGAAGTAGGTCAGGGATTTATTTTTAAGGATGAGTAACTAAATTATTTTAAATACAAGATCGTTAAAAATACAAAAGGTTAGAAATGCAGACGATTCCGACCCCAGATATATTTTGGATAGGATTTAGATTCACTTTCCAACCTTATAGACATACTTATTTAACTTTTGAGAGATTAGATTATTAGTTCTGGTGCTGGTGCAGTCATTGTCAGTCACTGAGTGAAAATTTCATGAGAAAATGTCCAGAATCCTCAAAAACATATAGATTTAGATCCTGACCATATTATCATCTTTTTGTGCTTTTGGAAATATTTGTCTTTTTTTGCTTGTCCTCATCATCTTCGTTATCGCGTGGTTCTCGGTCTCTTGTCCTTTTCTGAGCAAGTATGTAACAGGAAGGGCAACTCGTTTTCAGAAATTAGAAAAATCTGAACGATGGATTATGAAACCCTTTTGTTTTCGTATAAAAAGAACGTGCGTAGTTGTGTCATACATGTCATTGTTGTTTAATTTGAAACAAATTGGAGTCCTTTGGTTTGCAGCAGATCACGGCACGACGTCGGAGGAATCAATTGGACGAGATCGGATTTTGAGGAATATAATAAAAACAGAACTCACGCTATGCACCTCTCATTTCATCGCGTTAACAAACAAACGAGGACCAAAAACTCGACCGGAAAGGGCTTTCGTTGGATTGAATAAAACCAAAATTCCAAATTCTGTAAATACTTATAAGTGGATTGTAATTGATATTGGTACCACGCACTGGTCATAATTACTGTTTCATGAGTCATGACTTTTCCTAATTTCGTTCAATCCTGCTTTATTGTCTTTCTTCACATTTTTTTCGTAATTTTAGTTCTTTGAAGAATTGAATAAAATAAAATGATGTGAACTGAAAAATAACTGAAACTGGGGTGAAATGTGGTTTTAACATTATTATTTTTTGTTTTTTGTATTTTTTAATTTATGATTTTTCTTGGTTTTATTTATTTTAGAGAGCGGAGTTTGTTGGTCGATTTATTTATTCAGCATCTGAATATCCATCATTCATTTATTTTCCCGTGAGCATATTTCCCCAAACTTTGGAAAGCTGGACGCCTCCACGTCAATACTTCCCCAGCGCCAGGACCTGTTTGGCGTGACGGGAGGGAGTTCGGCCTTTCGGATGGAGCGGCGTGGTCGACCTCGCAACATTTTGTAAGTCTTGAGAATAATTCTGCCTCTCTGATTCCTTCTTTGAGAATAATAATAATAAACATTATGACAAAGGGCAAGCTTTTATTATTGCATTGTGGAATATGATAAAGTTATTTCCTTCTATTTTCATCCTCCTCGGGAGAGGAAAGTAATAATAATAGTTGAGAGAATGAGAGGACGACTCGGGCCCTGCTGTTTTTCTCATTAATTTCCATCAAAATCCAGTTGCTGCTGTCCATCACGAGTGTAATGAAATACCCGGTGCATGTGCAAATCGTATAGCACACACAACACTACAGCCGCATATGTATGTACCTTCCACCTTCCAAAATATTATACCCAGCAACTTATTTCAGGACTTGCTCATTACTACTAATGATTCCTAGTACGAGGCCTAGTCGCCTAGGAAAGGAGACGGCGAGAGCTAGGCGAGAAATGTGGCTGCGACCAGTGCGGGCATTCCGAGGGAGATAATGAAGGAGAAAGCGGAATAATAGATGATCCAAAAATCCGTCAAGGACACTCCGCTCTCCTCCCTCATATTCATGATGAATTACCCAAAATTGGAGGAGGAAGAGTGATCTGTTCCGAGCTGGAGATGAGACCCATCCTGCTTGACTTTGACATGGATGTGACGTGACTATGAAGCTCGGAAAACTTTTATCACGACGACGACCAAGGCAGGTTCGTCCGTTGGCTGGTTGGTTGGTGGGTGGGTGCAGTTGGCAAACTTACCGAGGTGACGCAAAACAATGTCTGCGAGGACGCTTCATAATATAGCCTTCGTCTCCCAGAAATATTATAATGGAGGAGAAAGTGGAATGACGGCGGAATGGCAGGCCGAGGGAAGCGGTGTATAAATATACGAGGTTGGAAAAGTAGGTGCACGGGCGGAGGAGAGAGAGAAGAGGTGTCACTCCACATTAGAGCATATTGCATTACGCCAAAGTGTGGGCTGCTGTCATGCTGGGAGGAGATTGGCAGGAAATTGGAAAGATTGGACGCCTGTCACTTCATCAATAATCCCAATTCCATAAATTTAGAATTCTACAAAATCTCATTCATTTCAATCAATTTATTCCTGTCCGAGGGAAATCAGCTCTCGAATTTGGAAAATTGAGTTATCATAATAATCCCGTCGTATTTTTGATGGTCGCCGTTTCCGTCCAATTATTTTTGATCGCTTCACGGGAGGCAACTTTCATGGGGAGAAAGGAATAATTTATATTTAGAGTTGAAAATATGTAGCATAGGATTCGTACTTGGTGGCGGCTTGGGCTCCCCTCTCGTCCGCGCGTTCTCGTGGTGTTGCTGAGTTGACGACGAAGGCGAAAGAAGCCATTTCCATTCCTCGCTTGAGGAAACTGCAGCAAGTTAGCAAACAAAGTTATGCCGTGGGATCGTCGTTATTATGGAGAAAAGCAGGAGGTTTTCATGTCATTAGAATGGCATTAACAGCGGGATGTGTCCACTCCACGTCCGTTCCATCCGCCACAGACTTTCTCTTTCTCCTCCAACCAGCCAACCACCACACTACCCGACCGTTCACTTGCTTACGAGACGCGCCACACAACCGGTGTCATCAGCGCATTGAAACACACTCAAACTTTCAAATCATGACGAAATAATGACATGCATTCTTTAAAAAAAACTATTCAGATTCGTCACCCAAGTGTCATCAGTTTTGCAAGGCAGTTTCTGGAGTGAAAGCAGGCTTGACATTTCAGGATTTGTGCATGGTCCTTCCACATTAGGGAACCAGCTATAGTTTTTGAGACAGTTTGGAAATCGGAGTACTAATGACGCCATTATACACCAGTTGAGTACATGACATAATCTGGGAAGATGCTGCAGCAGCTGGAGGGTCGTTTTTATACATGCAGAGTCTCCGAGAAGGAGGAGCAGCAGCAGTGGAGCACAGCTTTTGTGAAAATACATAAATGCGAATATTCTCCGGACAGTTATTCCTCCATTCTCTGGGAAAATATTTGAAGCACGTTTTTCCCATTTATTTCTGGTGGTGGCGATTTTTCCGCCGCTGCCTCCTCCGTGGCGAGCGGAGAACTAATTAAAGTTGCTAATAACTAATGGCCTATTTAGACTCGGGCTGGAAAGTTCGGAATAGAATCTTTATTTATTAGCTACTTGCATTACATTAGTAGTGCACACAGGGCCCAGAGCCCCCATTTTTAGCTCCCATTTCCTCGCCTTCCTTTCTTGGCGTGTTGTTGGTCTCTCTCTCCGCATGGGCTGCCTCCTCCTCCTCCGTATAAACAATTAGAATCAGAATGAGATGGTGGAGAAGTCGCTTAATTATTACCCGAGACCAGCCTGGCATCGCAATTTTTTGCCATTTCATTACTTTCTCCATCTCATACTAATTTGGTGAAATTAGGAGCCTGCATTCTCTCCTCTTCTGAATAAGCCGACACTGCCCAATTATTACTTCTTCTCACAAAAATCTCGCCTCCTTCTGGACGGACATTCAGCTATAATTTAAGACACTGCGAGATTCTAACTATGCGACGACGATACATAAACGGGGAGAAAGCTCGTGGTGGAAATGTTATTAAGTTTCTTGCTGCGATACAAAAGGATGACTCGGCTACCCGACCCTCCAGAACTGAACACTCACTTAAGCACGGGCGAGTGTGGGATAATGAGAAGCTGAGAATTCAGGTGATGCTCCACACTCATTTGCCTCATTAGCACTTCTTTCTCTACTCCTGGGAAAAATCACCTTCAATTCCCAACTAATTTGCGATCGCATTCAAAGTTTCCGATTGGGAGAAACTCTTCATCCTGATCTCATTAAGGAGTCGCACGTGGCGGAGAAACTGATTTCTCGCTATAAATGCTATCCCCATCGTCGTCGTCGTCATCATCACTCTGCTAATAAATACGCTGCACATACATATTTACCTCAAGCGGTGCATGACATTCAAATGACTTCCAGTCCAGCCTGGGTTTGTTGTTTGTTTGCTTTATTCGTGTAAGTGACAGATATTAATTTCCATTGTTCATTTCTTGACTTCTTATTAATGCGGCTGGTGGCAATAAATCCAGTTTGACTGGACCACGATCACTCACTCAAAGTTAGCTTAATGAGTAAGAAACCCAAACAATTTTCCATCTGCTTTGAATTACACTTGTGTCTCGTTATTTGCCTTTGTTTGATTAAAAAAGTGACCTTTAACATGCACATATTTTGGTGAAACACGTCCTGCGAGGAGGAACGTTTCAAAGTTATCAGTCAAAAATATGTGATTAATACAGCGAATGAATAAATATATGCACTTGTCATGTTTACGGCTCATGTTTATTCTCACTCCTTATTTGAATCAGAAAAAGATTAGGCCTGCTTTATTAGCCACGACGTCAAAAAAGTGTTTAAAGAGTTATTCAGAAAACTTTTGATCTCAAAGTCGAACACGCGATTGACTAGCGAATCATGGACAAGAGGAGCCAAAAGGGTAGAAAAATGAGTCTATGAAATGCGCATATGCAAAACGGCGAATAAATGCAGGTGGTATGAATAAATGAATAAAAAACGACCAATAACGACGAGCAAAGGGTTGAGATTCAAATCATGTTGGGCTGGCTCGACTTTGTTCATTTTCTTCACTCTCGCCCATGACTCGCATAGCACGGCGAAGCAGGAGCAGGGCAGCCTCCGAGAGTCGCGCCACTTTTCGGTAGATGGAATCAAAGGGTTGCGCAAACTTTTTTTGCGAATCTCGATAAACGGACGAGTCCTGCCCTGATACATAAGTACGAATTACACACTTGCAACATGAGATTTCCCATCGCTTCAGCACACGTAACACGATTTTGAGTTGCAGGTTGAACTGTTGTGTAACACGTTCGTTGAATTATCATTATTTCCACATTATGATAAATCTGAGGAAGAGAAAAAGCCAAAATGGAACTTCATACACCTGTGCACTCGAAACAATTAAAAGTAAAGCAATCCCATTTCGCTATCGGCATGCAGTTACGTTGAGCGAGTTACGTTTTGGTATGCATGTGATCCTCCAAGATGAGCGAGATGTGGGATGATGGGCTTATGTAAGAGGCTTGTTTTAGGTGCAGCAAGCATAGAGGGGAACCAGATTTTAATAATCGGGAAGGACGGAAGTGGCAAATGGTAATTTTATGTAATTTGGCCCCACATTCAATTTCACTCTGTTTCAAAGGCTTCAGGTATCGCATCATCGGTTGACTGCTCAACGATTTCGCACTCACCTTTTCCTCCATGTGCATATGCATGTAACTCATGTGCTGTTTTAAATGTAAATGATATCACTGCTCGGCAAAAAGAGAGAGAAATTAATCACAAAAAAGTTTACTGTTAATTTTACATTTTTACAAATTATAAGGCTCGCCTCATTTCCCAGTCAAATTCACGACTTCGCAGCGTCTAATGCATGCGTCGTAATAATATCTGTAATGGTGGGGTTTGTGGTTCTTTATAGTTATAAATACATCCCGTTTCCCCATTCAAATTGCCTCGAAGACGGCCAAATTAGAATAATTTTCTGTAATTGATTAAA